CCTAAAAATATAAATGTAGTACTAAATTATAAATTATAATTTATAAAATCTATTTCTATTTCTATTTCTATTCCTAAAAATATAAATGTAGTACTAAATTATAAATTATAATTTATAAATTATAAATCTATTTCTATTTCTTTTTCGGTAGAGATACTTTGTTCTCATTTTTTTCCATTTATATTCGAAGTCGAATTAGACAGCTACTCCTGTCGTATTTCCCTTCTGATTTCGAGTGAACGTTTCCTGATTTTGCTTCTGATTTTTTTTGGAAACGTCTACTGATCAAGTTCTGTTTTTCAACGAAAAAACTGTTTTCTAAAATTTGAATTTGGCAACCCTGATAGATTTTGTTTTATAAACGGAAAACGTACGAAGACACTAACAAGGGAAGGGCTGTGTGTGAGTGTGGTGCAGAAATATTCATGACGACACGATCGCTGCGGCGGGTGTGAATGGTGTGCTTGTGGGCATCATATTTATATCACATCTACATCCACCCACACCCACCTATCATCAGCTTTCACATTTGTATGCAGAATCTAATACGACTGTAGCCACTTCTCCATGTCGGTTTTTTCCAATCGTTGTTTGCCTCTGCACAACAGCAACAATCAGCATCTTTGTGTTTTAGTAGCCTGAAACGAATGCCGTGAGTCAAGATTTATCAGAGGTGAAGATTTTTTCGTCCTTAAACGATAAAAAAGAAGTCGTCGAAGTACCCAGGCCAAAAAAACAGACATAAGATCGTGTTAGATATTGCAAGATCTGACGCGTTCAAGATTTTTCATGTGATCTTGATACAAGATCGGGCAATATCATATTTGTTGGTTTTTTCAAGATTCTAGCCGATTCTGAACGCCATATGCAAGCTAAAATCTTACAAAAATCAGATAATCAGATTCGTATTGGATCGGACTGAGTGTTGCTTACAAGATTTTATGAGATCCGATCTGAATCAGACCAGATGAAACATATAATACAACGAAATATCGGATCTTGTCTGTTCTTGTACGATCATATATGTTTTCTATTTTATTCGAGAATTGCTAATATAATAGTTTCATTGTGATATATATAATATACAATGGATGAAATGGCACTGCCAAAGCTAATGCTTCACAATAGTGAGGTAATAAAACGAAATTAAACTTGATAAGTAAACATCGTCAAATCACTAGATTATCCCTGAAATTTGTTAAGAAAAGGAAATTTGTGTTAAATATATTGAAGCGAGAAAAGATCAATACTATATTGTAACGACTTTTCTAAAAATCCTTTACATTTGTCTATAAAATACGTATGCATCAAATTAAAATAAAACTTATCGCTGACTAGAAATTACAAATAGAGAAAAAAATATTTATTTTTTGATTAACAGATATTGCAACAGATGAATTTTTACAAAAAGAATTTTGAATATTTACTAAGAGTTTAATCTACCTCGGGAAAGTTCAGCATTCTTTTATACATTCATTGATTATCAAAATCTCTGTTCATTTTGATTTATTTTATGATATTAGACTATCCTAACACTATGGTGTAGTCTTTATTACTATTACAGATAATGAAAAAAATTCAAGCTATGCTAATAACAAATAAAAACGATCCATCAAATAAAATCTTAATTTCTTGTCTTCTACCATAACTTTTAGATCACTGAAAATTCAATGATAATAGGCTGTAAAAACCGCTGTAGTTTTTTTTGAGATATAACACGGTAAAGACAATGAACTTTTTGCACCATATCAGCTTAAGTACAAATGTTAATTATTATTAAAATGAAATCTTTGTTTCATTCCTATATTTCTATATAGATATCTTTAGATCTTTGTTTTACTTCTATATTTCTATATAGATATATTTACACCTTTGTTTTAGTTTTATATTTATGTTTATAGATATATTTACACGTTTGTTTTATTTCTATATTTATTATATAGATATGTTTACACATTTTTTTAGTTCTATTCTATTACTTCTTACGTTGGTTAGTATTATTTTATGCATATTATTGTTTAACGAGAACTGCTTTTTTTATTGGGACAATTGGCTTGTAAATAAAATGTTCTCATTGATATATGACTAATTTTATTTTGACTTTAAAGTTTAACTGATCCAGTGTATATGTAAAACAAAAATTTAACGAAACCAGTGTGAATCCTACTATAAGATCAGTTTCTCAGTTCTGATACGAAACTTATTTAAAGAACTAACATAAGAAATCAGGAACGATAATTTTGCGTCAGATTTTTCGTATGATCTTGTATGGTCATATCTGATCGCGACTTAATATTATATATGATCATACAAGAATCTGAGATTGATTGACCTGGGTAGTTATTTTTCCAGTTTTATCTGTAATATAAAATCTGTCTTTATTCTGCTTGCTGTGCAACGTTTCTTTCGACGTGTTGCATACTCGCACGCTGATGTATAAGTCACCACGTCTGATTAGCATTTCGCGCAGATAAATGTGGATAACTTCTTCTATTTCGGTCGAGAAAGATGTAGAATTGAAGTATATAGGTTTTTTTCTGATAGTTCACTTCGTTTATATGCTATTTTTTCATAAACATGATCATATAGTATTTTTCTCTTTCCTTTCGTTATCTTCATGCATTCTTCTTCTATTCTTTTGACTTATATTGAAATGTGTTATTTCCAAGTGACGAACTAAAGGATATCATTGAAGTATTTTTCCTAGAATATGTTGTATTACAAGAAATGGAAGTAATCAAAGTAACCATTTCTTGCCCTACAAAATACTTGCGTTTTCTTCTTAAATAAATGAACTCTTACTAAATTTCCAAAACTATCATCTTCTTCTACAAGTTACGATTACATTGAAACAACAATTGTCGATGATTGATCTTACCGAAATATGTTTTTAGACCCATAGAAATAAAATATACAGAATGATCGATCTTCATGATGATAATGAGGTCTGTTATTTATCTTGCTATATATAATTTATTATTAAATTAATTAATCTGTAAATAGATTGTTAAAATTGATTTGCTAGTTGGACATACATCAACAATTCGAGCAGAACCAACAACTACTCATAATCCACCACGTACTCATGACTGGGAAGTTTATGTACGTCCAGCTGATGCTCATAGTGATTTAAGTTGTCTTATACAACGTTGTGTCTTTTATCTTCATCCAGAATATCCAGATAAAAAGCGAGGTTAAAAGAACATATCTTATTGGAAGAAAAAACAATAAATTTATTTAAATTTAGAACTAAAAGCAACACCATTTGTTATACAAGAATCAGGTTATGCTGGTTTTCATCTGGTATAATTATTTTAATTTTGTAATTTTTTGACTCTATGATCTGTCTTTGTTTTTATTCTAGCCAATTGAAATATTTTTTAGAACAGAAAAAGCTCCTAAAAAATTTCGTATTGAATATGATCTTGATTTACATACCAATGTTGAAGGCCATCCATATCATCAAAAAGAAAGTTACGTACGAAAATATCGTTATACATTTTATGATCCTGATCCAGATTTTCGACAAAAAATCTTAGCTGCTGGTGGGGTAGGAGAAAAAGATTTTTCTTTTTTCTTATTTTTCTATATAGAAATAAAAACAAATGTGTTAGTTTTAACTCAAGGACATTGAGTTATTCTCATATAGAAAGTATTTCTAATATAGATGGAAATTCTAAACATCATATTTTTATTATTATTTTGATATCTTCATTATGAATTCAAAAGAAACGATAAAATCGTCTACTTAGCTATAAAAATACTTCATCTCTGTGCACATTTCTTGTTGATTTGCTTTTTTTTAACTTGACATATGACATATACAATCTATATTTATACGCACCACATAACTTTATCATGAAGTAAAAACAAACGATTTTGTTTTCTTTTAAAGTATTATGAATACACCTTGATGAACGTATTTATTAAGCAAAAGGAATATCGAACAATAAACTAATTATTATTATTTCTTTTTACATATAGAAAATGAAAGATATCGATACAGTATCAACTAATAATAATGATAGTATTGTTGAAGAAGAATCAACTCCACCACCAGCACCAGCATCAGCACCATCAGAGTACGACCCAGACCCCGCTCGCCCGGATCGAGATCTGAAAACTTTGTTTTAACCGGATTCGGATCGAAAGAGAACTGTTATCAACATAATATTTTTTTGAATATTTTATTCATTTCATTCACAAAGTCTTTTATTTATTAATCAAAATAAAAGAAAGAACAACAACAAAACTTTTTATTTATAATATCTGAATATAATTATCATAAAAAGGGTGTGGGAGAGTACAGTTGTGAGCATGAAAAGATTGACGAGTGTTGTGTTAAACACTTCTAACTCTTCTTTAATTATTAGTCATCTGCAAACAACCAAAGTTATTGAAAGAGAAAGAAGCTAAATGAGGCTCCCAATAGGGAAATTTGCATAGTTAGACTCAATTGACAACAAACGGGTCTTCTTTTAATTATAGAAGAAATACAGTCCAATTCGATGTTAAAACAATATTGTATTGTTAAGTATAAAATAAAATAAAATAAAATAACTAAATGCGATAGTGCTTTTCACCATAAACAAAACTATTTTGAAAAAAGAGTTTTCATTCTTATAACACAATTCTCATAGTGAATCTTTTATTCCATGGATAAACTCTTGATGATTCAGCTATTCATTTACACAATGTTGATGAATTCTACAAAACTAGAACAGTTCTATGTGGTGTAGCATTATTGAAGACAGAATCATTCTAAGTTCAATACTATCAAAAAGAAACTGTTTTCTTCCTCAAAACTATTCGACACTACACACATTACGGTTTAACAATATCGAAGAACTTCTTAGGGTTTTACTATTATCAAACAGAATCTTTTATGACTCATTCTGACTAAAAACAACTCTCTCGAATTTTACTATTGTTATGTACAACTACAGACTAGTTTTGCACGTACTACTGACTGATAAAATACTTCTGAAAAACCATATTTATCTTTTTTAAGACATCACCCCTTCACCACATACCAAAAATCTTAAGCGAAACTTATTATCAGAATATATACTAACTATGAAAACGAGCACTCTTATTTATTGTTTTTCCGAATATTACAACACAATAAAAATATACGCAACATCATCCCCTATCTATTCTTCATCGAAAAATATCTAATATTCCGATTCACAATCATGACTATTCCCCACTTCTGTTGCGTTTCAGAAATTCCAAGATTATATGATTAGCTTCATCTCCGATTTCATTGCCGTAGAGATATAGCGTGGTGAGTGTCTAGATGAAAAATGATAGTAAGGATATGATAAAGAGAGAAAGACAGCTACTGTATTGTGTTCCAATGCATCAGCCAGATGTTGTGCTCCAACATCTCCGATACCATTGTTCGCGAGACTCAGTTTGGTGAGTGTCTAGATGAAAAAGTGTAGATAAAGACATGATCTAGATAAAAAGAGAATAGCAATTACTGTGTTGTGTTGTAATCCATTAGCTAAATGTTGTGCTCCGACATGTCCAATTCCATTACTCGCGAGATTCAGTGTGGTGAGTGTCTAGATGAAAAAGTGTAGGTAAAAACATCATATCGATAAAGACAGTTACTGTGTTGTGTTGTAATACATTAGCTAAATGTTGTGCTCCAATATCTCCGATTTTATTGTGATGAACATGTAGTGCAGTGAGTGTCTAGGTGAAAATCTATAAGTAAAGACATGATCTAGATAAAGAGAGAAAAACAATTACTCTATTACGCCGCAGTCCATCAGCCAAAAGGTGTGCTCCGACATCTCCGATTTGATTGAAATAGAGCTTCAGTGTGGTGAGTGTCTAGATGAAAAAGTGTGACTAAACGCATGTTATAGTTAAAAAGAGAAAGACAGTTACTATGTTGTACCGCAGTCCATCAGCTAAATGTTGTGCTCCGACATCTCCAATTCCATTGCTCGCGAGATTCAGTATGGTGAGTGTCTATATGAAAAAGTGTAGATAAATATATGATGTAGATAAAGAGAAAAAGACAGTTACTGTATTGTGTTGTAATCCATCAGCCAAATATTGTGCTCCAATATTTCCAATTCTATTGTTCGAAAGATCCAGTGTGGTGAGTGTCTAGATGAAAAAGTGCAGGTAAAGACATGAGATACATCAAGAGAAAAAAACAATTACTGTGCTGCATCGCAGTATATCAGCCAAATGTTGTGCTCCAACTTCCTCGATTCCTTTGCTCCAGAAATCTAGTATCGTGAATGTCTAAATGAAAAAGTGTAAGTAGAGACATGGTATAGATAAAGAAACAGAATAGTTGGGCGTTGTTATGTGAATTTAGACCAATGAAACAAATGTTATTAGGACTCCATTAAAAAGCGCATGGCTATGAGTCTGAATACTTCATTGAATTTAGATTATGTGCAAAGCTCACGATTGTTGGATAAAAGCTGAGTTTTGAGTATGCGCAATTTTTTTTTATTTATTAGTTGCTTTAGTTCTTAAATGTTTTTGTGACAGAAGGGGAAAGTTCTGGGTTATAAATGATAGTCTGTTAATTACTGCTGCGCAAAACAATTTGAAGACTTACATCGCCTGTTAGTATTGGAAAAATAGAGTTCCATATCAGTAGTCTGTGAATGAATTTCGCCCATATTCATCAAGAAGATTGAAGATATGTTTTGCATGAGAACCTCGTTTCAGTTATCTAATTGGTCAAATTAAACGGTGTGGTTCGTTTTGGTAACAAGATCCATTCATTCCGGTAAATGCTTTCGATGGGACTACATGGTTATGTGTATACAGCAAGATTGATTGGCAAAAGCGGAAGAGTTAAAAGATTTTTTGAATAATGTCATATTCATAATGACTAAAAGGGGAATATATACTAAAACGTCGAATTATAAATATCTCTTACGAAATATACTAAATGTTTTATTTTGTTAGTGAATCACTATTGAAATTTCGTTCTTGAGAAAAAAAACGATAAAAAAAGAAACTTTCTTTTCTAATTATCAGGACATTGTTTTCGAAAGAGATTAGTACGTGATAAATTAGTTTAAGTAACAAATAGTTTAGTCGCCCATATTTTATTGAGATGATTCTATTTGTATAGAGATTGTAAGAATGAAAAATAATTTGTGAGTTAATCAACAAAAACTAGACTGTCATGATAGAAAAATTTACCTGATATCGATGATATGTGTTTAAGATCATGTTAAATCGCTGACATACATTGGTCATTGAGCATACCATTGTAAAGTCCGATTGATGATCCAGAACTCGATAGACAAGTTCTACCGGTAACGTATGGAAGTTCGTGATAGTTTGATTTGCCATTGTAGACTGCTGATAAAATACGTGTTTTGTAACGTTGTATGTTAGTGATATGATGTGTTATTATTTTTTCTTCCTACTTGAATGAATATATATTCGTCATGCATCATATATTTCACATGATATTGCACTTACTCTTTGAAAGGAAAAAATCCGAAAAAAACGATGTCAACTAAAAAACGACAGAATCAACATAGCAACTGTACGCCACGTTTTTGTTAAGATTATTTCATTGATATCAAATGTTATGTAATAGACATGAACATTGTGTTCTCGTTATAATAAACAAAGGTTTAATGCTATATGTGGCATATTGAATTGTAGAAGAATTCGATTGTTTGTCTAGCTAATTACTCGTTTTACTAACGATGAAGCAAAGTGAAGTACTTTTTGATGTTCCACAGACAGATGTTTGTGATAGGATGACTATAATAGAACAGATTTTGCGAATCAGCTTTTCATTCTTCAAAATGATCTAAGTGATATTTTTGGTTGAGTTTTATTCTTCGCTACGAATGAGAGAGAGCTGACGAAGTTTATAATCATACGAATGTGACATAAAAAATGATACTATCCGTATTTGATATTTATCGTTATTCTGAAAAGATGCATCGTTTGATGTCTTCCAAAAAAGATCTAATTAATTCATTGAATATAATCTTATTCATTTTGTTAACAATAATCGATGAAAGTATTAAGCAGATTTCTATTTTGTTTTATCGTTAGTACTTACAACATTTTGTCTAATCATTTTCAGTTTATAAATAATATTTTTAGGGGTGAAAACTACACTGGCATATAATTTTATTGAATAGCAAGCTAAGAAATTGATATGAGAGCTTTTTTCAGAAACAACACTTTCGAAACTTATGAGGTTTCGTCGTCATTTTTCAATAAGTTAGAAATAATATCACTATAGACTGATGAAATGTCTCTTTCATGATCCGATAGTTTATGCAAAATACGGTAAATGTTGTTCTGGTTGATCGACATTTATCGATTAATTGCGAAATCGAAGCGAATATTATACCAATAAATTAGAAAAGCTTTGAAATAATGAAGAAACATTAATTATTGATGAATGAGTCGTCGCAATCGTCTGAATGTTTCTTGAAATGTTTTTCTGTACAATGCTGAAGGGAGGACAAAAACAATAAACATAAGCATCGATGGAGTAAATGAAATGAAATAACCAAAAATAAATAATAATCGATTGTTCGATGGATTGACACATTCAGATAACATTGATATAATCAGACGGGGTAAGGACAGAATTAGAAGAATAATCGGACTAATCAATAATTGTTTGTGTTCACGAAATTGATCATAAATATGTTCTCTTAGAGTTAGTCTTGTTTGAGCTGCTGATCGCTGTTGGGCTGATCCGAGTATGATGAATAGAGCTGAACAAAGATTGACAATACATGGAGCGACAAGATGAAAAAATAGAATGATTGTATTGTATCGTTGAACAGAAGGAGAATAACGAGTTATACACCATCTATCAATCACCGCTCTGTTTGTCTCTGTTTTTATCTCATGTAATTCTCGATGTATAGGTTCATGAATAATTGAGCCCATGATAAAGAATGGTAAAATGAGAAGTATCCATCGAGCAATTTGTTGACTTTTTTGTTTACTGAAATTAACTCCTTTGAAAACGAGAATCGCTCTTTCAATGGCTACACAAGCATTGAGCCAAGCATCCAAATATAGACAAAGCTTGAGAAGAGGTTCAATCGATACACAACCTCCTCGAACAACAGAAACTGGAATCGATAGATTCATTTGAGTGA